TTTCAAGTCATAATCACAACATTCATTTTTACACGTTACTACCAATTAAATACACATTAGGCATTCTCTATTCAGTGAAAGAAATAAACTTTCATGTTTCTAACAAGATATGTTTTTACTGGTAAGATTCAATATCATAGATTCATCTGATAGACTATGGGGTTAGCTCTAAGTAATGAAAAATAAATGTTGGAAGTACGAACGAATCAATATTCCATTATATTTACACTGGAACTAATGAAATTAAGACGGGAAATTATTTTAACCGGTGAAATCGGCAATGTGATTCCATCGGTTTCTTTGATGAGAATTTAAAAAGGGCAAAATTGATGATTGTCAAATAAAAGGAGAAAGACCATCAAAAGACAATTTACATCAAATACAATTAGGCTGTAGTATTCAAGTGGTTTAGTAATACTTCCTACTCGAACATCAACTAAGAATCAAGCAAATCTGATCTCTGAATTTTCGGTAGAGAAGTTTACAAATGTGAGAACGACTTCAACTTGTCTTAGACAAAGAATCTCTGTGCTATTTTGTTAGGTATCAAAGTGGTCAACGTTTTCTGTTCGAAGCTAAGTTGTAAAAATCAAATTATTCTATTAAATCAATATATTCTAACTACTAATTACTACCTCTCACTCTACAAACAAGTGATTACAGACCCTGTATGCTTGTGAACAAACGTTTTGTTACATAATTACCTCTAAAAAACTGAAATATTCAGATGAATATCAATGTGTGACTACACCTCAATCATATTTGATTTAGCTCATTTGTGTTCACTTGTTTACCATTTGCACAAGTGTATAATTATCATCCCGTTCAAATTAATTAAATTATCTATGGGGAATAATAAGAGTGTAGAAATAATTATTATCCAAAAACTGAATGTATAATTATTGAAAGTTTATTATCGCATAGGTGAGTCATTTGGAAGTTATTTAATCTAATAATTATTAATAATTCCTTTGAATCAAGAGATTATCTCAGGATGAAGTGAGTAAAATGAAACAAGTTGAGTAGTCTTAAACATCTCAATAAGTGTTCATTTAACAGTTAACCGCTACTGTTGGAGACAAATAGAATCGATGCTATGGAAAACGACGAATGTTGATCAACTTATAGGGCATGTAAATATAGTGTATAATTACTACGCATTAGACTGTACACGAAACAGACCTAATAAAGCAAGTCGACGAGAGGGATTCTTTTGAGAATTTAGAACGGTTTTCACAATAAACAGACTTGTTAGTGACTGTTTAATCAGAGTAAACTCTTAATTTTATTGGATTTATTTCGTACTATTCAACTAACATTTTTATTCAACCAACATTCAGTTTAATAGTCGACAATGATGCGAAAGGTAAAATGCTTTCGTTTAATTTCCGATTTACAGTCATTCTAGTTCATGGAAAATATTTGTTTTCACCATGCAATAAGTATTTTCACTTAATCAAATTGTTTCACTGGAAATAGAACACTTGTAATAAACTTTTTATGTGTTATGTGTGTATCACATTATTCGCCAGAGCACAATGAACCACTCGTTAACTACAACGAACTGAATGTTTCTCCTAACAAACTTTATGCTTCACTATTTTCGTGGAAGTCATGAACTTAACAGAGAGTTTATTTCGTGTTCACATTTACGGTTGAATGACTAAACACGTCTTCTTTAAATGATGCACTTTTCCATCGCAGTGCCACTTTCATTTAGTGTTCTTATGTTAACATTTTATGTAGATGTGTGATAATGACTCTTGAATGATATTACACTACAATTGATTCCACTTATCAAATAGACATTGAACATTGCATTAAACACTTCATGAATCAATGACTCTAGTCAGTTTGTAGACAATTTACATTGCCAAATTACCAGAGAATTTCATAATATTGCTGAATATTGTTAGTATACCTGGAACAATGTGTATCAGATGATCAATTCACCAGAAGTCATTTGTGCTTTTCTATCAATATTTTTCACGAATCAAGAGGCATATTTTGGACTAATAGAAGATCAGTAGATAACTTATATTGCTGACGGATGAAATGTGAGGATCAAATAATCTGGGAAGTTCTGAATTCAAGAATAGTATCATTCTCCTCCTGTTGATGTATTCGCCGAATCACCTGTGTAATTTAGAAATACTTTAAAATGTTCCTTATTTACATTTTGCTGCCAAGATAACAAAGAAATGTGTGATTTACTTGTTGTAGAAGAAATAATATTATTATCACTAGAAGTCTACTCAGTACTGAACAAACTCCGTCCTTTCCAAGTTCTCAGAATCATTGGTTCACGTCTTGTGGTAAAATACCATGCTCTGGAAAGTTGAATTAGCAACTGAACGTAAATGACGGGATGTCTATTTTGTGAGATTGATGAAGTTACTGAAACATAAAGCATGTTGATTGTCTCCACCTAAACGTGTGTGATGGCTTTTGTCTTTGATCATTTGTGATGAGACATGACAGAAACAAACTGCCTAATGTAATGAAGACGGTTAAGTTAACTTGTAACAGCCAATATGCATTGAGTGATCAGACGCATTTAAATGTGCATCATGGTTCTGATACCGGAATCAGATTATGGTCATCAACTGTATTGCATTCGTTTGCAGGATAACCATGTTGATTTGAAACCTATCTTCTGTTCATACAAACTTGTTTGTTAGAAACGAATATTGTACGTGCGTTGTTTTAATTAATCAACTAGCCGAATGTCATCTTATTAACATAATGTTTGTGAGACAATTCTACTTTCGTTCAATTGCATCTGGTAGACAAATGCAAATTTGAACTAGAATACCAAGTGCAATATCTGTGTATGATTTTCCTATCTCCTCATTAACAGTCTGATCTACAATTGTTTATCTTATTCTTCCATTTGTTCTATTCATTTGTTTATGATGTGGACTGGTGATTGAACCAGAATGTATTTTGTGTAAATCAACTTTGTGTTAGATCGTAATTGTGCTTTCCACCCTCCCTCTCACCCTATTCAACAAATCTGTGTGTGTATGTGTGTGTAGGGGGAAAGCACACAATATTCTGTCTATAGAGGAAAATGTAAATTTTTGACCTGAAATAAACATAACTTGATGTTCAAGTTGATAAAGTATACACTAGTACTACTTAACAAATGAATGTGGAATATTCAATTAGTATTGTATGCACAATATGCACGCGTCTGATCTGATTCATCAATGAATTCACGTGTTAGTATTTGTGTAAGTTATTAGTCATATGTGGATTGGAAAGGTATTGGAGTGTATCAGACTGTTTCTTGTTAGGATCAGTAGTTTGAATCAGTGGGAGTTAGGTATCAGATCAGTTTTATGTGTAGGGCAGTTCTTTGTTTGACTATGCATTCACTAAGAAAATGTGCTTGCACCCAGTGAATTAATTTGATCTATGAGAATGGTGTATGTCTATTTGTGTATATTAGAAAAGCATACCAAATGTACTTAGTCATATGTGAATTTTTACCATATCAATTTTTGTTCTGTCATACTATTTATTTAAACGGATTTATTTTGCAAGCATTATGTTATTATTATGAAGTTTTACAGTTTCTAATTACATTCTTAATCTCCATAAAGAACCATTATCAATATTGATTGGTTCATTAGGTCATAAATGATCTCTAAAATTAAACCACCAAGTAATTCATTTTCCACATTTTAATCCCATAATAATTAAAATAAAATTTCTCGGAAAATTAGTTTAACTTTTTGTCATTACAGAATATATCTTTTTTTTCTCTTTCATTGTACTTGATTCATTTGCATTCATACATAAGAAGTCTTCTCATTAAATAGAAATAAAAGCCTAAATTTAAGCAAAACTTTGAAACAGAAGATGGTTAAAAATAATCTTGAAACCTTCAAAGACCCTCAAAAACAAGTGAGAACCTAAATTAACTAATTGTGAACTTCATTACCGTATTCTAGCAATCAAATAACATTTTTGTGTCTAGTTTACTTAATTCAATATGAATGTGCACTTTCCCTGATGCTAATTGTTTATATAACACTAATGGGACCCTATATGAGGTCGAAAAAATTTCATGGGAATGTTACCTACTTTTGGTTATTGATTTAGTAAATAATGACCTATTCGCTTTGCAGATAATTCAAAATATTTATCATTTATGGTCTGAGGGTGAATCTTAACATTTTACTTTCTTTACTTACTGTTACTCCCAATGGAGCATAGGCCGCCGACCAGCATTCTCCAACCTACTCTGTCCTGGGCCTGAATCTTAACAGTTCAAACCTTAATTTTTACAGGAAGTTTCGCACCATTGAATTACATTCACGAACAATTTAACTAATTATTTACAATATTTTCCTAACTACATCTTCTCAGTACATTAAATACAGGAAATATTAATACTTAGTGAGATGATACTTCATATTATCATTCAATGGACCTTTACTTAACAGTAAGGAGTGAATCTTTCAGTTATTTATCATCTTTATTCTCCAAAAAATATGTAATGCCAACAACCTTGAGATTTATTTTGTCACTCAATCTAAATTAAGCTGTAAGTTTATCTGTCATCCGATGTACAAAATCGCCTCATTTATTTGTAATAATTAAAATCGGAAATGTAATCAAGAAATTAATATTAAATCATGCATTTCTAGATTTTGAGAAACCTAAATAGGTCAATTTTTATTATTCCATCGGTAAATTGTTAAGATCTAGTTGCTTAGATCATATTAATTACATAAGGCAATTGTAGGTAATCCTACTTAAATATGACTAGGTAAAATAATACAACACAACCTAATTACATACGTAAAACCAATGATATTAATAAACTCATTCATACGTTAGTAACAATTAAAAATCAGTTTAGTACAATCAAAACTAGAACGCGTGCCAGCCAATACAATTTAAGCAAAGAAACTTGTGCCTCATAATTCAATTTCTATTGGTTGATTTTTTTTACCCACCTGATAGGTGTGTACAAATAATACTTTATAAGCAATGGATCAGGAAATAAAATCTGAATTTATTATTTTCATTATCTGGAATATATACTACATTACTTTCACTTAAGAAAAAAAACTTTTTATTGGAATAATGCAAAGAAATAAAAAACAAAATAACCGTGGACCCTTACGGGCAATTTCGATCGCCTTACCAAATGTTAATAATATTAATCCGACTTTACCAATAAAACGGACATTTATAACTAGCGCAAATTGTGAAGATAAGCCTCGGTAAGCTAAATGGTAATTTTTCATTTGCTCTATTATATAGTTATTATTGGTAGGATTTAACATTTTCACCATATTCAATTATAGCTTATTAACGTACTAGAGTATATTCGTCAAAAGTGATCTGTGAGTAGGTTGTACACTAAAATGTATTATGCTGGTGCATTGTGGGGGGGGGAGAGATAGTTCATTTAAAATTACAGGAATTAAATGATAAGTTTGGCAGTGGCTGTTCCAAAATTGGTTCATACGGCCATTATGTAAAACAAGTAATTCAACAAAAGTTAAATGACCACATCTTGAAACTTAACAATTTTCTTCGTTCAATAAAATAATCGGAAATGTTTATAATAAGAGTTTCGAATCCATTTAAGAAGCAATCCTTTATGTCCTTCTATAAACATATATTAAGCATACCACAATAAATACGAATGTGAAGCTTTAGCAAACTTGGCTGAAATATAGTTTTATGCAATGACACAATAGGTTGTTTTAATTATCTGTAATTGTGAACATTCAAGAGTTCGCTTTGGGAACCCGGGCAGTATTCCAGCCCTCACATAATTCAGTAAATTTGAGTGGCGTATATCCATTCGGTCCCTCTTTGTATCAATTTTTTAATGATTATATAAATAATAGAACAAAATATATTGGTGATTTAGTATGTTACTCAGTTTTGACGGGAACTGATCAGGGGAATCACAGTGCATGAAAACATCAAAATGTTTTCGTACAACCATAAGACTAAGAAACTAGAGTAATTAGATCTTGCATTAATTTCCAAAAAATTATTCAGTAGCATGGTGAATTGATTTTTAAAGAAATTTATTACCTTCGTTTGTGCATCATCTAATTTATTGTGGTCCATACCTTTTCTCTTAAACGAGTTTCTTGATAATGTATTGGAATTCAAAACATGAAAACACTTGATTCTGTGCTTGGTTTCTAAAATTGCGTACCTTGGTTCGTTTCATGCTATCGAAAAACTATATTGAAGATTCAAAGTTGACTAGGTCCAGTCATAATTTGTCACCCGTGGGCTCCGTTAAATCATCCGGATGATCATGTGATATCCATAATGAACAGCATCTTTTATTGTCTATTTCTCTAAAATTGGAGGAATGAGACAGGGGGAGTTAATCGTCCACTCAAGTTTCGATAAATTAAAGTAATTCCGGTATTCGTTTTTCTTAGTTTTTTTGCAAACATGGCATACAAAATAAACTAAGCCTGAATGACTTGTAACTTATGATTCGTTAAAATAACTATGACCTATATACATAGTTAAGTAATAGGAGGCACATAATGATATTTTCGTATGATTACGTAACGATATCCAAAATTTAGGATAATAATCATAATATTTATGATCCCCTATCCCAATGATTGGGTAAGATGAGTGGGGGTGTATCCTTTACCTACATTTTCATAGGCTTGAAAATATTTTCCTGTTTTCAAAATAGTATATAAATGTTCTCACAGATTAGTTTTTTTATACTTTTCAGTTTATCAGTGGATCATATCTCGTCTACACCAGTGTGCCGTGTAGTCACTTCGAGGCTGTCTCAAAACAAAACATCAGAAAGTTCTACTGAAATATTACCAATGCCCTTACGATCATCATCCTGCCGTTATGACAAAGAAAATTTTAATAATCAAAAATCTGATATACGTCGTCATTTCCCTATTCGCAACAGTATCAACAGACTGTCATACGTAGAGACCGATAATGCGAAGGCATCTGATATTACCGTTGATTCTCCGCTTACTAATTCGTGTAATTGGAATACGAGCTTATCATCTGTGGATTCAATTTTTTCATTTGGCGATGCAACACGCAAACGACATCCTAGCTCCAGCGAAATTGATACAAAAGCTAAGCAGTCACGCTATACTGAAAGTCAGAAGTCTGTGAAGCTGAGAAATGACAAGGATACCATTTGCTTGACAATGGGTGCTGAGGTCAAAACTCATCCCAGGTACAATCTGAGGAAGAATGCACTTGATGTGGAAATCAATGAAGATAATGTACATAATTCTAGAAAGAATTTGGCTCCTATTTGCCCCGTCCCTATGCCAAGTGGCTTTCCTCTTCAGCTTCCAATTCGTTACTCATCTGTTTCACTTCCTTGGGAAATGAAAACCGACACTAGATTAACTTCATCAAGAACTGTGGAAACACAAACTTCACCTACTGGCACTAATCGTAAGTATTATATAAATCACAAACATTTTTTTGTCACCTTTATGCAACAAGAAATATATAATTGTTTTTTTCTTCAATTTTAGAAACTTCCACGGGTGAAAAACTTAGAGGTAGACGGCATACAGGGTACGTTATAATTTTATTTATATCATAAATCCAAAGCGTTCAGAAACGTTTTTTAGCGTGTTTAACCTAGACAGTAAACCAATTGACTGAAGAACAAGTTCATATTGATTTTAACAAAATCACAGCTGAAGAATCAACATTCATAGCGTTGAAATGAGATCACAAATGTTGCTTCGCTTGAGCTTTATGACTTGTTGCTATTAACTAACCTTTATCGTTTAAAGGATTATTTTATTTTGTTGCAAATGCTTGTGGTTATGAAACCATCCACATTTCAGGTCAAACAGCTTAGCAACAGGCATTAAATGTAAACAAAGGATTATAAAATGTTCATAATCCAGGTTATTTATTTTTATCTCAATTTAGACCTACGTTGGCCATTCAAAAAATAATCAGTAAATTATTTTTATTTACTTATTTAATCACAGATTGGGTCTTCGTAGTTCTGCTACTGCTCAAGTTCTTCAAAATTTAAAACGAAAATTTAGCCATCTGAGGAGAGCAATCAGTGCTGATAGAATAAACAAAAGTTCTACGCCATCTGACATCCGAGAGTCCCATAACTGTAATTGTGCATCCCTTCCCAAAAATCCAGAAAAACATAATGATCTGTCAACTGATTTAAATACACAACAAAACCCTGAAGCTACACCCTACAAACTTACTTGTAAAGTTGTACGTAAAAATCCTGATGGCTCTATTCAGATCTCGTTAAGACGTTCATCAATAAATGGGCAATTCGGGTTTTTTATTGCTCGTGACTCTAAAGGTAAGCTTTTGATAAATTTCACTGATATTTCGTCATTTAATGTTTTTACTATTACTGTGATGTTAATATCAATTTAATGTATATCAAAAAAAGAGGATGTACTCAGTTTGTACACTAGTTTACTTTGTACATATTCGAATAATAAACCTAAATATAATATCAAATTTTTCTCTAATTGGATCTCTTATTTTATCTTTCAGGTATTTATGTGACTCGGTTAGGTAGTGTTCGATGTGCAGCTAAACTTTGGGATGTATTTCATGTTGGTGATAGAATTTTAGAAGTTCAAGGTCTCTCATGCGATAATTTAGACGTAGAAGAAATTCGAAATCTTATACGTGGTTGTGAACTTGTTGAATTTAAAATTAAACCATACTCTCATACAGATTCCAATTTTTCACGAAAACATTCATTATAATTGAGTCTTTCTTTGATTTATTTATTATTTCATTCAGATGATATGTAGTTGTTATTGCCTTTTATTATTAATTTTATAGCCATCTACTTATTGTACAAAGATTTCCAGATTCTTAAACTAAGATTGTAAAGATTGTAAAAGATTTTGATTCTACTATTATTATGACAATGATGATTTATTGGTACTTATCAGAGATTTAAATATGACCCTTTTTTATTATTTCTCATACAAGATAATTTATAGATTTTTCGTAATACTTTTCTTGTTTCTGTACATATGAAAAATTTTTGTTCAATAACATGATTATTTACATTTATCTGTTGTATCTTCATTCTATGTTACTTGTATAGTTGATGAAAAGAAATTCTAGATTTATAATTTGTTTTTACATTACACATATATGGGTTAAGGGATTACATACACGTTATTCCCTTTATCATTTTGAAAAACAGTATGAATTCATTTTAATTTTTTAGTTCTCATGCCTTAGAAATATTGATCGCATCTGCTGGGATCACCGGGTAAGCAATAGTGAGGTTAGACACAGGGTATTAGGGAATGATGGTAAATCAGTTGATGAGGTTGTGAATCTTCATCGACTGAGATGGTTAGGCCACGTGTTACGTATGCCTGAACACCGATTACCGCTATGCTGACTAGTGTAGGGGATGGTTGGAAAAGAGTTAGTGGCGGCCAAACCAAAACGTGGTATCAGTGCTTGCTGTCACTAACTTCTAGTCTGAGCCATGTTGGTAGATGCAGACTACCTGGTTGGGGTCCGCGTGACTATCGTAGCCAATGGTTGGAGACTCTAGGTGACATGGCTCAGAATCGATCACAATGGCGTAGGTGTATACACTCTTTATCTTCCCTTAAACCTTGAGATTAAAATTACTTCATAACTTTCTTCCTTCCTATACTAAATCCTTATATACAACCTTTCTTTTATATATTACCACCCATAAATTAACTACTATGTATTTGGTGTTCATCTTGTGCTAACAAGATAATGGCAACTTGGACCGATGCATATATGTGCCTACGTTGTAGCTGACCGACTGACTTTGTTCTCATCAGCTGCTTACAACTTCTAGTACAAATGGGTTTAAATTACTTACATGTGATTTTTTAGTCAAAAGTTATGTTGACGACCTAACTTGATAGACTGAATACTGTAAATTTATACCTTATGTAAAATAAAATTCTACAAAATTGATTAGGACAACAGTTTAAAAGGCCATAAATAAATGGTTACATAATGAGTAAACGCTAATAGGAATAAAATGAATAAAGCTCAGTTAATAAAATAAGATAACTTATCTAGAAGATAGCTGAAATAAAACCTCAATGATGCAATATATACAAGAAATAGTCTTTTTTTAATTTTGAGATGCGACGAAGGAATATTGGTCACCAAGCCAAGAAAAGACTAATAACCATCTCCTTTTGAACACAAGTCAGGTTTTTAAAGCCTGATAGCAACGGCTTCAGAAAACTGAAGTTTGGCTGCTTACTTATCACCTTGAGAGATTGCAAATTATCGACCTCATGTCTTTTATCCGAGAGATGTTTGGTAATTGCATTGTTTATAGTCGTTCTTCTGCTTATTGTAAGGCTTTCCGGAACATGCCCGAAATCTATAACGTACTCACTCCTTTTTGTTTGGGCAATGTAGCTGCTTTAGTAGTGCATGTAAATTTATAAATATAGTTGGGGGTAACTTAATCGGTTATAAAACGTAATGATTTATGCATTTTTGCCAGAATGATATTCTTAGAAATCGTTTTACCCTTTGGATTAACTTTCAGCATATATAATATATAAACTGATTATGTATATTTTTCACGCTCACACGGATTATAAATAAACATAATATTCTGTAGTCGTCAAATTGCAAACTTCCGACATTAGAATTCTGATCCTTCATAATCATAGTGATTAAATGCATCTTTCCAGTACTTTGCAAATTTGGACAATAGTTCTTTCAACCGAATAACCTATTTTACGTTGTAACGTCTGCCTTCGATTGGTTTGTATATAACCCGGGTTGGAGAGAGAGAGAGAGAGGAACTATCTGAAACGCAGAACTATAAAAACAATTAGTTGAAGACTGACTAAGCGTTTAATAACCGAAACTACTGATAATGATACACGGATGAAATTGAGGCAGTCTGGTAATTAAAACTAGTTGATAGAATAAGATTTAATTTGCATCGAAATTTCATTTCGGTTAAGATTGTATACATTGGAATTCACATATCAAAAGTGATGAATTTTGAAAAGGATATTTGTTTTCATGTTATTTAACCCTTATCTATTATTCATTTATGATAAAAAACTAATTGACCATCCGTATCTCCAATAATATAAAGTATCCAAATAATTATTGATAAATGCGTCTATTCGTTTCCTCAAATATTAAAGAAGACCTCATGTTTTATGTAACTGGATGAAACATACAGACATTTTTGTTGATTAGTCAACAAGACACGTGTGACAGTCTATTATAATGGTCTTCACCGCTAGATTGACCTTTCTTATAGACAACTATACATGTTAACATTTTAGATAAAAACTTCTAATTGCCTATTCTCCTTCTTGTGATTCTCACGGAGTGAGGCGAATTATAAAAAAGTGACATGTTTATTTTAAAAAATGTGTTGTTTTAGAGACGAAATCAAGGGAACCCTGTTTCATATTCTTATTCGAATCAAACCTGTAGATCTTTTGAAAAGGTGTTGATTAGTCTTTTTCAAGACAAAGCGAAACGTTTAACCTAATAAACATGAAAACATAGTTGTTAATTTACAGGTCAGATAACAGTAATTAGATATTATGTGGGTGTGATAAGCTTAATTGGGAAACATTTTTACCCTTATTTTATGTCGTAAACACCAGACTAGAACTGTCTAATGTTTAATCACCTTCATTTATAAGATATCGTAATAAGATAATTTCTTTAATTTCAGGGTGAATTTAATCTTATTTTATCATTGTTTACTTGTAACTGAATTGTAAATCTCTGTTTGAATTCATGTTAATTAAAAAAAATATCATTAGAGCTATGAGCACTTCAAGAAGTCAACTTTTTATGCCTATGTTTTGCTAGGTTGTCGACTGAAATTCGAAAGCTTTTCAGCTATAAATTATCATTTTTAACTCAATGTCCATCTCTGCATACCATGCTTGTGAATTAAGGCTACATCGAGGCAATACGCACAGTATGCACATATGCCAATTAGAGACTGACCAGTTGCAGTTCTAACACATCGATGGGAAGATTCAAACAAACAATACTAAATGAATTTGTAGTTTATTTTAGTCTTTTTTTCAAGTGTAATCTGATTACTCGTATTGAAATTTGTTTCATAACTTAGGGTTATCCTAGTCAACTAAAATGCTGATCAATATGTAATTAAACTATTGGAATCATTAACATTGCTAATTAAGACGACGAAATTATATGCAATAAGCTTTAAATGGTTGCACAGATGAATACTTATTGGTTCTCTTCATAACACATGTGATGAAAAGACTAGGCTGGGATAAACTCAATTAAACGATTTGAAGCGGCAAGACTACTTGATTTTAAATAGCTGATTTTGATAACCACCTAGATTATATTGGGATCTCATGAAGATCCGTTGTTCATTAATGATGTATACTGTTAATAATGAAATGGAAAATAAACTGCTAAATTTCATTATATATGAGTAGGTGTTCGATAATCTTACTAAACACCTGATTGAACATTCCTATAACTCTTGTTGACCTTTCAAATCTATCGAGTAATTATCAATAATTAAATTTTAACCGTTTTGATTCACACCTTTTATCACAACCTTATGTAATTATTTTTTCGAACATTGGTTGATCTTGGATTAGCAACTAAAGTAAGTCTAGTTGAAAATATTCAACAAAGTAGATTTATTATTTCATACATTTATTTAAGTAACATGAAATCATAATCCACAATAATTAAACTGGATAAAACCATTCTCAAGTTACTGGCTGCAATCATAACAAACGTAACAGCGAATATATTCATTACCAATCGATTCCAGAAACCAAGACATTTAAATGTGAAGCTTACAGATGATTATTTTCTAGAAATCTTCATGAAAGATAACTCACTGAGATGTTATGTCATTTATGTAAGTGACTATATCGCAAAAATTGTAATATACTAGCCATCTAATAGTAAGAAATGTTTATTATTCATTTGTGAGACCAATCGTTCTAACAAATTGAATAACTTTTTTAGTGAAATATTTCTAACTTAGTGATAACTGATTATTCGAAAAAGTAGAGCATTCTGACGGCATATCTCATTTCCATTAGTTTAGTGATTTTACGATACCAGTTGACAATAAACATCGACATGCAATTCATCTTTAAAATATAATGAAGAAACATGGGAATTGTCAAGTAAAGACAAATTAACCATTGAAATGAAAGTAATACAAGTTCTGTAAAGTAGTAATCATAAAAACTAAAAGTAGACTAACACATATGTCACGCATTTATCTGTACTCACTTCATATAGTTTAACTGAATAGATCAAACATGGCATAAGTCAATGATTACTCTATAAATTATTCATATACAAATATGCTTCGATCAAAAAGAAACATGACTTGGATAATGTTTATCTTTTTCAACTTTATATAACATTTGATCGTTTCTCATTACAGGTAATTTAGTTTACTTCAGTTGGATTTAGTGACGCAATATGGCTATTGATCAATTTTAGTTTATGTATAAAATATCGATCAGAATTTGCAATCATACTGAATCATTTAAAAATACAATGAAGTTAGTGATCATGACACTAAAAAGGTTTTGACATATTGAAATAAATCTTGAAATTACTTTCGCTAAATGCACAAATTAAGAAAACTTATCTGTTGAATTTATAGAGCAACCAGAATAAAATGGTATTGTTTACTATGGTAATGGTTACTTCTTGTATCCTATCTAAGTTTAATCAGTTGTTTTTATCTGTATTCTACTGTGCGTCATACACATCCCGAATTTATCGCCTCATCCACAGCATTATTTGTTTGAACAGAAACATGGTTCGGTTCCAATTGCTATTATTTTTTTCAGAAAATGTGAGATACTGTAACGCGATACAAGCCCACTTAGCTTATTCTAGATTCCGGACTGGCCAATCTATTCATTCTTCTTGAGTCATATTCTGGTCATATTAATTAGTTGCTTATCAATCTTGACTGTTTTTATATAAGTGTATATGTGTGTGCATTTCTTATCTTACTGATCACATGACTGTAGCTTATTTTTGTTCGGCTATAAATATCGATTCATAATTGGTTAAATAGAGTTGGCTTACATGCCTTCACTGCACGTCATTCC